ATTCTTAAATCTTTGAAAACCCAAGTTAATAATGAAAGACTTATTTTATCTCATGCCTTCTTTTCACCTTACAGGGACGTTAAGTGTAAAGTTCTGCCTTTCATGGTCCCTGAAAGCTTCACTGTCTCCCTGATGGAGAACAAGGCTTCTGACACCATTGGGATGTTTGAAGGCAGGGCTGTCTCATTTGGCTCAAAAAAATAAAAATAAAAAAAGAGGGAGGAGGGGGACAGAGATGGGTGACTACATGAACATTTACTTTTCTTTTTTTTTTTTTTTGAGTTGGAGTCTCACTCTGTCACCCAGACTGGAGTGCAGTGGCCGCTCCCAGCCACTGCAACCTCGACCTGCTGGGCTCCAGTGATCCTTCCGCCTCAGCCTTCCGAGTAGCCGGAATTACAGGCATGCGCTACCACGCCCGGTTGATTTTTTGATTTATTGTAGAGATGAGGTCTCACCAACTTGCCCAGGCGAGTCTCGAACCCGCGGGCTCAGACATTTACTTTTCATAGACAGCTGTTGAATAGAACAGCTTGATGGGATATAAAACCTAGAAGACCAGAAAGAAACCTTCAGAAAGAATTGGGACCTTCTGAAAATACACCTTTTTTGCCGAGTGGTTGTAGCTTATTAAATGGTTTACATGAATCGGTGACAGAGGAAACTTAGAGGAGAATATCGCTGTGCAAGAAGCTTTTGTAGGGAGGGCTGGGGAAGTGAAGACTAAGTTTCTACTTCATAACACAGTTTTTGCTTCTGAGGGCACTGGACAAACTGGAACCTCAACCAGTGTACCTATTATCTGAAGTGCTTTCCAAAATTATTTGAAAACAAGCAGAATTCTTTGCAGAGGTGAGTTCAAGCTTCAGGGACCCTTCTGAGGCTCATGGGAGGCTAACCAGAGGAAATCCTCTCCTAGTGTTGCTGGACTGACTGGTGTCTCCTTCCCCATGTGGCTCAGTGATGTTAGTGCATCTGTTATGTGTCACTAAGTTACTTGAGGATGGGGACTTTGTCTCTTGCTCCTACTAAGACTTTATTCTTAGTAATCGAAGTAGTGCCCATCACCTGTAATTACCTGTGGAACGAACCTGTGAGTTCCAGTTATTCCTGTCCAGTGTACAGGTTTTGTTACGTGCAGTAGTAGGAAGCCTCAGGATCAGAAGTACCAGGTAGAAATTGCAATAGTTCCTACTACTATCTGAAGGCTACGCCCCTGTATCCTGGATCCCCTGCCACTGCCTGTTTAAATAATTTGTATGGAATGAGGACTAATGTCTTTAAGGTATAGTGTCTGCAGACTGCTGCAAGGGACCTTAAGATTACACAGTTCGATCTTTACATTTTAAAGCGGAGAAAACAGAGGTGTTCAAGGATCTGCATTCTAGTAAGGCCCAGGTGATGCTATTGCTGCTGGTGTATGGACTGCATAGCTCATTGCTGATAGGAAGTAAGCATTTGTTTTAGGTCCTGCCTGGTGTCTCATGCCTGTAATCGCACCACTTTGGGAGGCGGAGGCAAGAGGATTATCTGAGCTGAAGGTTCAAGGCCAGCCTGGGCAACTTGGTGAGACCTCGTCTCTACAATAAATAAAAAAATTAGCTGGATATGGTGACTCACGCCTGTAATTCCAGTTACTTGGAAGGCTGAGGTGGAAGGATTGTCTGAGCCCAACAGGTTGAGGCTGCCATAACTGTGAGGGTACCACTACACCCCAGCCTGGGCGACAGAGTGAGACTCCAACTCAAAAACAAAAAAATCCTACAAATAACAAAACAAAAAATTTACAGACATTCCTTTAAAATAAACTATTTAAGTATTTGTGCATTTCTACTTGTAAAGATAAATAAAAGTGTAAGAATGCATTAAGAAAGGAAATGAATTTTCTTTTTCATCAACTTTTACCACTGCCAGTCTCTTGAGTCCATGAGTCAGATCCGGCCCAGTGTTGATGTTCTGGAATGTGGAGGCACCTCTTGTTGGAGGCTGTTCAGTTAGCCTGCGATGATGTCATGTATATGCCACCTATCACGTGCTGGCTAGGCTCTTGTTGTTTCTGATAATCTCTTTTGTTTTTTGTAGCTTGTTTTCTTTTGTTTGTGTATGGTTGGAAATATGACATGCATTTATTTGTTCATTCATACATGCACATGTTCAGCAAGTTTTTGTTGAGCGCTTAGTTGTGGCAGCGAGTTCTAAGTCCTGGGATGTAGTAGTGAACCAAAGTAGGGCAAGCCCTTGCCCCTATGCAGCAGCAGGCAAAGGGAAGAAAGAAGCTTGTGGAAAGGTCAGTAGGGCAGTTGTGATCTTAGAAATCCTTGAAGATCATGAAAGTCAAGCAGAACTTATTTATTACTGGTAAAAACATGGATAAGAAAATGGAGAAGACAAAACGTTGGTGTGGTCACAGTGCCACAGTGATCTGGAGAGTTCCTTCTTCATTGCCGAAAGTCACTGCTTTCTCTGGATGCCATTATTATTGTTATTTTCTCTGGGTACTATTATTATTACTGCTATTTACCTAACATTTGTTGAGCGCTGATCATTGTAGACATTGTGCTAAGTGCTTTGTTTGTATAGGACCTTGTGAGGTCGGTATCAACATCAGTTCGTTGTGCCCATGATAAAAACAGGGCTCAGGGAGGCTCACAGAAGCATTTGTTCAGCTAGTGAGTGTAGAGTCTTGACATGGACCCAGCAGCCCATCTCCAGGGTCTGTGCTTCTGTACCAGGCATTGCAAGTCAGTAATGTTTATTTTTATTATGACATCAAAGGATTTTGTGCGTGTGTTTTTGGTTTTCACTAACTTATCAAAACTTTATGATTCTATATTTTTTAAAGTCAAATTACTTATAACTTTGTATGTAATTAAAATTTATGCCATATACAAGTAAACTCAATTAGAAAAAAGTAGTTATTGTTAAACTAAATAATACTTCAAAGTTTGATACACACAGTATGATAGGTATGATAAAATCTAGTTGTATAGAATTCATGTTATGTTCACAAAGTAATGTTATTGTAATAAGTTTAATGTGTGTATGTAAAGTGCCTAACATTGCTTTCACCTCACATGTCAAACAAGTAATGGTTTTTACTTATAGGTAAGATGCCCTTAAACATGCTTTAAATGCACAGTTTGATAATCTGAATACCGTAATCTCAGCAGCTACCGGTGCAATGTTCTCATAAGGACCACTTTATATTTGATGTTACTTTCTTTTTATCTCCAGGATTTATTTGGCTAAAAGTATATTTTGAGGTTATGTGGTCTCAGCATATTTAGTCTGGGGTCTGTGGCTCTCAGTTGTTAGTATGCATTAGAGTCACATGAGGGCTTATTGAAAAGCAGATTACTGAACACTACCCCCAGAGTTTTTGATTCAACTAGTGTGGGGTGGTGCTCAAGGATCTGCATTTTTAATCAGGTCCTGGTGATGCTATTGCTGCTGGTGTATGGACCACACTTTTGGAAGTGGTGTGACGTCTGACGATTGCTGTTCTCTTACAGTTATACATGTCCAGTGGAGTTAATGTGCTGATATGATTGGTGTTGCTGAATCTATTGTATGGTCCTTGTGAAATAATAATTTAGAGAAATTTGGTCTCTGTAAGTGTCATTGTGCTTATTGCTTAGGAAGTTTTCTAAAGGTTCCTTCTGCATTAGAGAATTTCAAAATGCAGGTTTTAATTCATATCTGTTATTCCTTTTTACTCAAAACACAAAACTACACAGCTTTGATTTTTTTTTTTTTTTTAGGTGAAATGCAATATGGCTGAAATATATTTCAAAAGGTGATTTTATCTGTTAAAATTGATTTCTGAGAATTCCAGAGTATCAAGATGATGTGGCAGTTTAAAAATAGTAACACAAATTTTATCTTCTTTAGTCCTTTTCAAAAATCTTTCTGAAGTTAAAATTTGCTAGGGTAGCACTGAGTAGAGTTTGATGCTTATTGTTCACACTTACAAAGTAGATTTCACTTATACCAACATAACAATTTTGCCTATTCTTTTTAAAGTGTAGATTATACCTTCAGGGATGTAATGGTATAGTGGGTTATTCTCTCAAAGAAGAAAAGGCAGTCAGAAAATCTTTGTCCATGAGATTAGACTGAAATGCTCTCTCATTCAGTGCTTACTGAATGCATCTATGTGCTAGACATTACAGCAAAAGTCAGGGCCAAAGTAATCGATCTTCATCCTGTACAATGGGGGGTTTTAGTGGATTGTAACTTGGTATAATCTAATTGTGTGATGAGGCCCCTGATAAACCCAGTGCTCTTAGACTTCATTAAGTAGAATTAGCCTTGTGTGCAGATCTGGGAATGTAGGGGTCTGCTATGTTGTTTTACTAGACCATGTTTGGCATGTTAGGTGTAGTCTGGAACTAAGGGACACCTTGGAGTCACCCAAAAGTGAGGAACCCTGCAGTTGAAAGACATGACCATATTTGCATGTGAGTATTGTTGGAAAACAGGAGTAATACAGTGGAAGGAAAGATGCCCCCGTTTTGTTAGTAGTCCTGAAATGTCTGCCTGCCCTGCTGTGATATAAGACCTGCGAGGACAGTCACCTGTCTGTCTTGCTCATCACTGTGTCTTCAGTGCCTAGCACAGTGCCTGGTCTGTAGTCAGTAAATAGTTGAGTCAGTTTTGGGGGGAAAATGATGTTACCTTCAAATATTTGTCATGTAGGTAACAAATTTCTAGAGGCCAGATGGAGGCACCAGGGATGGAATTTTTTGGTGGGCAGATTTCAATTTACATATGAACTTTGTAAAAGTTAGAAATGTTTAGTAGCCAAATTAATAAACCTCTTTGTGGATATTTGGTTATTTTTTGAGTGCTCAAGTGGAGGCTGCATGGGGATTTACTTCTATACCTGCTTTTGGTAGATGACGGGCTAAGATGATTTGAGCTGTTGACCCTTGTGGCTGTATGTTTCTATCTTTTTTTTTGGTGTTTTTTTCTAAGTTAGACCTGTCTTGTCATTTCAGACTAAAGCAAGCCAAAGAATTGGACCGAGAGAGGGCTGCTGCCAGCGAGCAGTTAACCCGGGCCATCCTTCGGGAGAGGATATCGAATGAGGAGGAGCGCTCGAAGGCAAAGCACTTGGTGAGTGTACAGAAGTTAGACATGTCTTGGCTCCGAGGAAATCCCTGGTGTTTGGAAAATGCTGAGTGCACTGTGCCAGCTTTTAGTGTTGATAATATTCATGTTCTCTTTGCTTTCATTTTCTTGGTTTTTACCTTTTGCAGTTAGCTTACAATTTGTTAAGATTGACCATCAAGGACTTTTAGGCAGGTAACTTGGAAGAGTTAAGTAAAGACCCACACACAGGCACGTGCTTATGTACCCTTCTGGAAGGACTGTAGTCTGTTTACTTTTTACCTCTCCTGCTTTGGGTTTTGTTGTCTCTGAACCCCTGGCCTTCTTTCTCTCCCTGCTGGTGATTACCAGGTATTTGTCTGGAAGACTCCAGCAAAGGTGAGTAAGGTTTGCTCAATCATTCTCTGGGCTTTAGGAAAGGGAAAATGTGGGGGAACCATCTTTTTTGAGAGAACACATACTTTTTTTTTTAAAGAAAATATTTTTGAATTTTTAAAAAGATTACATAGACATGCTTTTTTTTAAAAAAAAATTATTAGTAGAAAGAAGAAAATTTAAAAGGTGCCCATAACTTTGTTTTTCAAACATAACCATGGCTTATACTAGTGCGCATTTCCCTCCAGACTAATTTTTTTTCTAGATTTATTACATACTGAAGAATTTGGGTAATGCTGTATATGGTGTTTAGCATCAGGAACATTCTCCTGTGCTGCCAAACATTTTTCTGAGATGTAGTTTTTTTTTTTAAATTTATTTTATTTTTTTATTTTTTGTTGAGTTGGAGTCTCACTCTGTCACCCAGACTGGAGTGCAGTGGCCGCTCCCGGCCACCGCAGCCTCGACCTGCTGGGCTCTGGCGATCCTTCCGCCTCAGCCTTCCAAGTAGCTGGAACTACAGACGCGCGCTACCATGCCCGGCTGATTTTTTATTTATTGTAGATATGAGGTCTCGCCAAGTTGCCCAGGCGGGTCTCGAACCTGTGCCCTCAGGCAATCCACTCACCTCAGCCTCCCAAGGCACGGGATTACAGGCTGAGCCACCGAGCTCGGCTATGAGATGTAGTTTTTAATGACTGAATGCTATTTTGTCTTCTGCTTCCAACATTATTAAATGCTGTAGTATTGTTAGGTAAAGGTGAAGGTGCTCTGGTTAAGCCTGCCCCGACTGCTCAGCCCCCACTTCAGGCTTCCTGGAGTTCCAGATATAACTTCTCAGAACCTTTAGTCCTCCTTGGCGCACAGGTGGGAACTCTCTGGACAGGGAAAATGGGACCATGTAGTGGAAAACTCTGATCGCAAGAGCAAGGGGGTGGTTCCTAGTTCAGCAAGCAGTTGGGAATTGTTAAAACTTCACTTCTTTGAGAGACTAACCTGTGACCAGATGCAAGTAGAGAAAATGAAAGGAAGTCCCTGTGGCCAATTTAGAGTCCAGGCTGCATGGGTAGATAATGAAGCCATACAGGTGGTAGACTAAGAAAGGATTGTCAGTAGGTGACTGGCAGCTGCCCTGGGAATAGCAAACACCTTGAGTGTAATTAAGGGAATAAGAGGTAGAAGGAAAGTCAGCCATTGTGAACAGGAGTAGTGTTGGAATGAAAGACAGTAAGTGCGAGTAACTCAGTTGATGATTACCTACAATGTACATCTCAACTGTAGAGTTGTTGCGGAGGCTGGAGCAATGTTAGGTCAGGGGGCTATTGTAGGGTCTTTTCTGGGCAGGTTCAAGCCTTCTGATTTAAAGGCCGAGGATGGAGTGGAGAGGGCTCGTATGCTAGTGTCTGAAAGGCAGGGGGAGAGTAAAACTCTTAGGTTCTGGCAGACTGAAGAATTCTTGGCGGGTATTCTTCATTCCCAGCTTTTGTCGCTTGTGTCTTATCCTCAGCACACTCTTCTTTCCACCTCTCTTCGCTTGAGTTTGGATATGGAGATGAGCAGGATTCAAGAACTCAAAAAAGAGTCGTTAAATAAATAACTATTCATTAAACACACACACACACACCCCGCAAACAATAACAGGAGGAGAGTTTCCATAAAAAATGTGAAAGTATAAAAAGACTTGGTACCCAGCAGTCATCAAAATATTAAGCCATGTGGTTAGGTTGGAGTAGTATATCTTCAGTCTGTTTTTCTCTCCTTATCTAATAAATCTTGTCTATTTTTTGTTGTTTTTGTTGTTGTTGTACAGCTGATTATGCATAAGAAACTGGTGTGGTACGTTCGGTTTTGTGGATGTCTACTGATTCTGGAGTTGTATGGTCTACATGGCAAATTTTAGGACTCACAATCCTGAATTTCATCATCTATCATAATATTGGCCAAATAAACCCCTCAAAATACTTAGGGAATAAGAGTAGAATTTATATAGTAGGCTAATAGCTGATTCAGAGGGCCCCTTCCTGCCTTGGGTGATCACAGGCATTGAGTGGTATGCCATGGCCACAGCAACATGGCTACCTATGATAACATAAGTACCAGATAATTCCCAACTTAGTTATCCAATTTCTCCCTTTATTGTAATTATTATTTTTTAATTGCAAAAGGCATCCATATTCATTGGGTAAAGATCAGAAAATAAATATAAAGAAATATGCATATCACTCAAAGTACCACTATCGAGAGTTAATTACTGTTAACATTCTGGTTTTTATATTCTTTTTCACTTCCTGCTAAGTTTGTATAAAGCATTTATTTTATGTGTGTAAATGTATTTCCCCAAACACAGATAATTGTTTACATACTTTTGCTTAATTCTTATAATAACCTTCACATTTTGAAACATTTAGGTTATGTGGTAAATGTTTCTATACCAATAAATATGTTTTGTGTATGGTCACAAATATGTTTTGAATGTCTTTCACTGTTTTCTCCTAATTGTTAAAATAGTACAGGAATATTATAGAGAATTTGGAAGCATATAAATTATTATTGCAGTTTTGTCATCTGTTATGATTACTCAGTAGTGTAATATTCTTTCTGTCTCTGCACTTCCCACATATATTTTTCATAAATGCTTTTAGTTTTCAAATTAAGTGTCCTACCACCTTATGCAGCAGAGCTGTGTGGTATGGAAGTGTGACTGTAAGGTTGCCAGCTGTGGAGGCAGGAATCTCCAGAACGCGTGCTTCATGTGAGTCACCCCAATACGCTAGCATTGCTCTGGTCAGTGCCAGGCCCTCAGAGCTGCCACTCCTAATTCTAATGTATGGGGCTCTCTGAGTGATGGCCAGACACGAGTTTGTTCCTCTTTATTCTGAACCCAAATGTTGCAGTCTGCTGGAAAGTAAAGACTGGATTCCATGCATTTGAAGTAATTAACAGACTGTCTTTCAGGAGAACTGGGGCGGGGAGCTGATGTGATGCTGGGGCTGTGAATTAAAGCTCCCCCAGCCTCACTGACCGCTGACATTTAGATTGCATCTCCTTGGGTGTGAGTACAGACTTGCCTTCTGCAGTTGTTTGGGGAGCTAGCTTTATTGAAGCTCTTTGAAGGGCAGAGCCACAGTGGCCCTGTCATTGGAGTTTTAAAATAGGATCAGATCAAAACTTTCCCCTTTGGAAGAATTGCTTTAGCTGGGGAAGCCGTTAATCCTGCTAGATTCTGGGAGAGTACCCTAGCCCCTCCCTCTTCTCAACACTGACTGGTGCTGTTGTTTTAATCAGACTTTTTTTTTTTTTTTACTTTATTTAGAGTCTTTGGGAGAAGCAGTTTACTGCTGGTTTCACCTGTATGAAAATAAGTAAAAAATTTTCACATTAATAAATTAATTATTCTTAGAAGCAGGAAAGTACCTCTGTAAAGAATGATGCCTAATTAAAAGGACAGCACCACCAGCCTGGGCAACTTTGTGAGACAATAAATCACAAAAACTAGCTGGGCATGGTGGCACTCGTCTGTTGTTCCAGCTACTTGGAAGGCTGAGGTAGAAGGATCGCCTGAGCCCAGCAGGTCGAGACTGTGGTGATCGTGAGCATGCCACTGCACTCCAACCTGGGCGACAGAGTGAGACCTCAACTCAAAAAAAGGACAGCACCAGGAAGCCTGTAAAGTTAATGCAACTTGATTTTATGTGTATTTTTAAGATCTTGTTCATACATGATCTAATATTTGCTGTCATTAGAATTTTTTAAATTAAAGAGTAGTGAGTTGGGTTTTTTAACTTTGCAGATACATTTTGTTTATTTCAAAAATTTCAATTAAAATTTTGATTCACTTTTTTCTCTTATTAAATTATGCTAATTAAAATTTAGATATTTCTTGTTATCACCCAGTACTATGTAGTATTTTCTTTAAACAGAAAAATCCATACTTTAAAAGAAGTCTCAATTTACTTAAGGCAGTATTTTCTTAAATATTTTGGAGTTTGTAACCTTAAATGTGAGATAGTTTCATCACTCTTTGGGCAGATGTTTTATTGAGCATTTACTGTATGAGGAACTACTGTGATATAGGTACTAAGGATCTGTGAACGAAAAAGACAAAATCCTGTCCTTAAGGAAATCACAGTGTAACTTGGGAGGCAGAGACATTAAAAATGTTTAAAAATGCTAATTCTGCTATAGAGCCCTGCTACTTGTAGTCTTGTGACAATTCTTACTTTGTGAAAGCCAGGGCTTTGTCTTCCATTTAACTCATTGCTATGTCTGCATTCATTTATTCAGCACATATTTGAGTGCCTAACCTATGCCAATACTGAGCAAACAGTAAGCAGTCAATACATATTTGTTGATTGAATAAGTGAATGATTGAATCTACCCAGGCCCTGGAAATAGGAGAGGAGGGGAAGAATTGGAAAGATTTTCTAGGGAAGTGATGCCTGAACTGAACCTTGAAGTATGAGTCGGATTTTCCCCCAGGTTGGGGAGTAGTGATGGTCTAGCCTCTGATATTGCAGGCAAAGACCTGGAAACATAGGGATGGTGGGACATTCTGGGAGTGCTGAGTGGGAAGTACAGGACCAGGAGTGCTGAGGGGTGAGGCAGGGGTTGCTGCCAGGGCTAAGAGCATGGAGGACCATAGGTGCCTGTAGTGGATCCTGGACTAGAGACAGAGAAGTGTGGAGGGGAGCGGTGAGGTCGTTGGAAAAATATCCCCATAGCTCACTCTAGTGAAGAGTGAGGGACAGAACAGTGGAGGAAATGGTGCCAGAAAGTCTTATGTTAACTTCAGGGAAGGCAGGGGATCCCTGAGTTAGGGCAGTGCGTGCAGGAACTCAGAGAAAAGACAAAAAGTATATATATGGGAGACGGTATTACTAGGATTTTAGGATTGAAGGACTGAGGGAAGCATCAAGGCTAACATAGGGTTTCTAACATCAGCAAATCTGTGTCATTTTAAATAGAAAAGTTAGCAATTAGTTTGAGGAATGGTCTGGGTTAGGCATATATTGTGAGGTCTTGATGCCAGGGTAGCACCGAGGAAGGCCCTGGCCTCAAGTTGTGCGTTAATGGTTTTATTCACCTCGTGGTGGAACAGGGTCTGGCCACCATGCCTCTTGCTCCCTTCTTGCACTCCCCTCCCCCCCTCATTTGCTCGGCTCCTGCTGTGTGCCTGCACTGTGAGTTTGCTGGGGATGCAAACATGAATGGCAGCTGGTTGCTTTTCCTCAGAGAGTCTGCAATCATTTCTCAGGTTTGTGGGGAGTGTTATTCTTACCTTGAATGTTTTTTTCTTACTTATGGTGTAATTTTTGAATTTGTAAAACTTCATGCTGTTTAGGGGAAAAAAAAACACTGAAAAAATAGGGTGGGTGAGTGCATAAATTTAGTTTTTGCAAATTTAAGTGAGTGTTTCACCAAAATGTCACTTTTCATCCCCAGTTTCCTTTTTGTCTGAAATGCACCCAGTGAAGCAATCAAGAAGAAGAATTGATTAATTTTGTGCTGTGTGCTTTTCAGTTCTGTGTTTTGTTTGTGCTTCAAACTGCGACAGTTGAAATTTCATGGTAAAAGAGGAAAAGGTTTTACATTTGGGGTGTGGAGAAAAATGACTAAATTAAAGAAAGCAGATAAGAATACCACTGCTGTCCAAATGTAAGTGAGCTTCTGCCCAGGGGCAGAGCATGCAGCTGGGTTTGGAATGATCTGTGCTCAGGATTCTTGTGAAGGAAGAGAAGATAGAAGTTATCTCTTGGGCTTTGGCTGTCGCTCACATCAGCCAGGTGATTGAAGATGCAGGTCACATGGTAACCTTGGTCTCTTTTATTTGACATTTAAGGATAATTCTTAGACAACTTCTGCTATATTTGGGTGCAATTCAGTACTTTCTTTTTTTTTTTTTTGAGTTGGAGTCTCACTCGGTCACCCAGACTGGAGTGCAGTGGCCACTCCCGGCCACCGCAGCCTCGACCCTCT